CGGTGGCACTCACTGGACCAGGACGCAGACGGTGACGAGCAGGGCCGAGGCCACCACGGCCACCACGAGCAGGGCAGTGATGGTCTGCTTCTTCTGGGTGGCTGCCACCACGGCCAGCAGGTCAGCGTGCTCACAGCGCGTCCCCACGTACCCCGAGTGACACCTGGGGACACAGGGCAGGTCAGAGTGTCCCCACGTACCCCGAGTGACACCTGGGGACACAGGGCAGGTCAGAGTGTCCCCATGTACCCCAAGTGACACCTGGGGACACACAGGGACACAGAGCAGGTCAGGGTGTCCCCACGTACCCCGAGTGACACCTGGGGACACACAGGGACACACAGGGACACAGGGCAGGTCAGAGTGTCCCCATGTACCCCAAGTGACACCTGGGGACACACAGGGCAGGTCAGGGTGTCCCCACGTACCCCGAGTGACACCTGGGGACACACAGGGACACAGGGCAGGTCAGGGTGTCCCCATGTACCCCGAGTGACACCTGGGGACACACAGGGACACACAGGGACACCTGGGGACACAGGGCAGGTCAGGGTGTCCCCACGTACCCCGAGTGACACCTGGGGACACACAGGGACACACAGGGACACACAGGGACACAGGGCAGGTCAGAGTGTCCCCATGTACCCCGAGTGACACCTGGGGACACACAGGGACACAGGGCAGGTCAGGGTGTCCCCACGTACCCCGAGTGACACCTGGGGACACACAGGGACACAGGGCAGGTCAGAGTGTCCCCATGTACCCCGAGTGACACCTGGGGACACACAGGGCAGGTCAGGGTGTCCCCATGTACCCCGAGTGACACCTGGGGACACACAGGGACACAGGGCAGGTCAGGGTGTCCCCACGTACCCCAAGTGACACCTGGGGACACACAGGGCAGGTCAGAGTGTCCCCACGTACCCCAAATGACACCTGGGGACACAGAGCAGGTCAGGGTGTCCCCATGTACCCTGAGTGACACCTGGGGACACACAGGGACACACAGGGACACAGGGCAGGTCAGAGTGTCCCCACGTACCCTGAGTGACACCTGGGGACACACAGGACAGGTCAGGGTGTCCCCACGTACCCCGAGTGACACCTGGGGACACACAGGACAGGTCAGGGTGTCCCCACNGTTTTGGGATCCCCAGGACACTGACCCCGGAGTTTTGGGATCACTGAGACCCCAAACCCAGAGTTTTAGGGTCAGGGGATTTAGGCACTCACACACAGGCTCTCCTGACCCCATAATTTTGGGCTCAGGGGATTTAGGCACTCACACGCAGGTGGGTTTCTCCTCACCCCATAGTTTATGGTTAGGGGATTTAGGCACTCGCATGCAGGCGGGTTTCTCCTCCTGCCCCCATAATTTCAGGGTTAGAGGATTTAGGCACTCACACACAGGTTTCTCCTGCCCCCATATATTCGGGCTTAGTGGATTTAGGCACTCACACACAAGCAGGTTTCTCCCACAGTTTTGGGGTCTCTCAGGGACTTAGGCACTCACACGCAGGAGGGTTTCTCCTCCTGATCTCATAGTTTTGAGGGATATGACCCCACAGTTTATGGTTAGGGGATTTAGGCACTCACACGCAGGCGGGTTTCTCCTCCTGCCCCCATAATTTCGGGCTCAGGGGATTTAGGCACTCACATACAAGCAGGTTTCTCCTCACCCCACAGTTTATGATTACGGGATTTAGGCACTCACACACAGATTCTCTTGCCCCCATAATTTCGGGTTTAGAGGATTTAGGCACTCACACGCAGGCGGGTTTCTCCTCACCCCACAGTTTATGGTTAGGGGATTTAGGCGCTCACACACAAGCGGGTTTTCCCCATAGTTTATGGTTAGGGGATTTAGGCACTCACACACAGGTTTCTCCTGACCCCACACTTTCAGGCTTAGTGGATTTAGGCACTCACACGCAGGCGGGTTTCTCCTGACCCCACAGTTTATGGTTAGGGGATTTAGGGGATTTAGGCACTCACACACATGTTTCTCCTCACCCCATAATTTCATGGTTAGGGGATTTAGGCACTCACACGCAGGCGGGTTTCTCCTCGCCCCACAGTTTATGGTTAGGGGATTTAGGCACTCACACACAAGTTTCTCCTGCCCCCATAATTTCATGGTTAGGGGATTTAGGCACTCACACGCAGGCGGGTTTCTCCTCCTGCACCAGGAAGCGGCACGTGCCGTGGAAGCAGAACTGCCGGTGCGAGTCCGGNGGTGTCCCCACGTACCCCGAGTGACACCTGGGGACACACAGGGACACAGGGCAGGTCACCCCGCAGTTTTGGGATCCCCAGGACACTGACCCCGGAGTTTTGGGATCACTGAGACCCCAAACCCAGAGTTTTAGGGTCAGGGGATTTAGGCACTCACACATGGATTTCTCCTGCCCCCATAATTTCGGGCTCAGGGGATTTAGGCACTCACACACAGGTTTCTCCTGCCCCCATATATTCGGGCTTAGTGGATTTAGGCACTCACACACAAGTGGGTTTCCCCCACAGTTTATGGTCAGGGGATTTAGGCACTCACACACAGGCGGGTTTCTCCTCACCCCACAGTTTATGGTTAGTGGATTTAGGCACTCACACACAGATTCTCTTGCCCCTACACTTTCAGGTTTAGGGGATTTAGGCACTCACACGCAGGCGGGTTTCTCCTGACCCCACAGTTTATGATTAGGGGATTTAGGCACTCACACACAAGTAGGTTTCCCCCACAGTTTATGGTCAGGGGATTTAGGCACTCACACATGGATTTCTCCTGCCCCCATAATTTCGGGCTTAGGGGATTTAGGCACTGACACGCAGGCGGGTTTCTCCTCACCCCATAGTTTATGATTAGGGGATTTAGGCACTCACACACAAGTTTCTCCTGACCCCACACTTTCAGGCTTAGTGGATTTAGGCACACACACAGATTCTCTTGCCCCTACACTTTCAGGTTTAGGGGATTTAGGCACTCACACGCAGGCGGGTTTCTCCTCACCCCACAGTTTATGCTTAGGGGATTTAGGCACTCACACACAAGCGGGTTTCCCCCACAGTTTATGACTAGGGGATTTAGGCACTCACACATGGATTTCTCCTGCCCCCATGATTTCTGGCTTAGGGGATTTAGGCACTCACACACAGATTCTCTTGCCCCTACACTTTCAGGTTTAGGGGATTTAGGCACTCACACGCAGGCGGGTTTCTCCTCACCCCACAGTTTATGGTTAGGGGATTTAGGGGATTTAGGCACTCACACGCAGGCAACTTTCTCCTCACCCCACAGTTTATGGTTAGGGGATTTAGGCACTCACACGCAGGCGGGTTTCTCCTCGCCCCACAGTTTATGGCTAGGGGATTTAGGGGATTTAGGCACTCACACGCAGGCGGGTTTCTCCTCCTGCACCAGGAAGCGGCACGTGCCGTGGAAGCAGAACTGCCGGTGCGAGTCCGGGCACTCGTTGAAGTGCGACCTCACCGCCGCCGCCACCGGGGCTGGGGGGAAAAAACGAG